AGGGGTAAAATAAAGTGGTGTTTTCTTAGAGAAGAAACCTATCCCATCTCTAGTGTGTCCTGACTTCAATGGTTGAGGAGGAATATTGGTATGATGACAAGATAGAGAGTGTGTTCTTGCAGCTAGAAAGATACCAATCTGCATTAAATTTGAAAACTGGAAAAATAGATGCTTTGGGAAGAATTACAACTGTAATGGCAGCTAATTACTTAATAACTACATGAGGATCTTGGCATTTTAGTTGGAACTTTTTTTTTTTACTATACATTTCCATGCACTGACTGAGAGTCTCATGAAGACACTGTATCTTCATTCACCCACCCCTAATATTATCGGCAATTGCAGGAATGTAACTTCTATGGGGCAATTGTGTTGTTCTATGGGCCTGATGAGGTTTATTTTTGACATCTATTGACTACACAGTTCATAACATTGTTTTTAATGCTATGGGCAGAGTTTTGTAAAGTGAAAATACAGTTGTGCTATCTTAAAACACCCCCCCCAGAGGCACACACTACGTTAATAATAATAGTTGCTGTTTTTTAGCATTCTGAAATTGCCCTCTTTAAATGCTTGCTACCCTAAAGTTGTCCGGTCAGTTTCATCAGCAGTTTCCATGTGTACTGAAAGCCAAACATATTTTCCTTTATCTCTTGGTAGCATTCAAACATGCTATTCTTGTTCTACAAGTTAACATTTGAAGTTGTGATAACAAGCCTTGTGACAGCAGCATTTATTCCTGACAGCTTAATGAACTGTAGATTTCTGACCCTTGAAATATGGAAAACACCAACACACATGCGCGCACAGAGAGAGAGAGAGAGAGAGAGAGAGAGAACCCGCACAACAGTGTGATGCTGGGAAATCTCCCTTTGTGAAAAATGATCAACACATTAATCAACCAAAGCAGGGTTAAGGAAACTAGTCCTCCAGCTGTTGCTGGACAATAGGACAGTAGCTTCTATCAGCATCTGTTTTGGACTAAAAGTTGAAGTTGTAATAATCTCCAGAGCTTGAAGCTTCACATCTAAGCATTTCCTAGTGCATTGCTATATTGCTCATCAACAGATATCTCATTTTTCGTAATCCAGAAACACATTCAGAGATGGGAAATGTTGCTTTTTTGGTCTACAGCTCCCAAAATCTATCACTGAATATATTTCTTACTTTAATTTCTTCTAATAGTTTTTCTTCAGTATAACTGGTGGGCTGGAATTCTGTCCACTTACGTGATCCGTCATGTAAAGGCAGTTGTATAAGCCTGCCCCCTCTGGAGGTTTTCCTTTGTGCAAACACAGAAGTGCTGTTTGTGAAATTAGTCATGTTACAAGTGGTGTGCTCAGTTCTGCAAGGGGAGCATACTCAAAGGGGGAAAAAAAACTCTAATTGTCTTTATCTGTGTACAAAACATGAGTTTAGGACCTCAATATCTGGCAGAATGCCTCCTTCCAATTAGATCTGCCCGTCCTGTAAGATCTTCCCAGGCCAGGCAGCTGAGAGAGTTCTGACCCCGAGAGAGGCCTGAAAAAGGACGAACAGAAATCGGACCTTCTTGGTGTTTGCCACGTAACTATGGAACAGTTTCCCTGCCCAAAATTCACCTGGCACGTTCATTGGGATCCTTTAAAAATCATTAAAAACATGGTTATTTAGACAGACCCTCCTGGATTTTAAAACACTCTGATACAATAGTGCTTTTAATAACTAAGTTTCAACCCTCCACCATGCTTTTATTTCACCTTACTATACTTTTATTACATGATTTCTTAGTGTCATTTGTTTTAGTAGCTCTTATATTTTGTCTGGTTGTTGCTGATTATTTTGTTTTCTATGCTATTGTTTTATTCTGTTTTTGTGAACGGCCTAGAGTGGCCTTGTCAGCCAGATAGGCGGTATAAAAATCAAATGAATGAATGAATGAAATTTTGGTCTTTGTATGTTGATTCTCTTCCAGACATTACTGTAGACACTTACTTTATATGTAGAAAACACCGTGTTTTGTTAAGTTTCAACAGGCCACTATTGATGCTGGCTATTTTTTCCATCTGATATTATTGAACAAGTTGTTGAGGTTGCTGAACAATTCTACTTGTTAGAGAAATTAGTTTGAGAGATACATTATATATGGTTGTATACTGTGTTTTTGTATTTATGTTTGTGGCTAATTCATTATGGTTCAAATAGGCTGGTTCTGACAGGAGCTCTGTCTTTAGATTTTTAGCCTACGGTATCCCCATAGGCTCAGGGTAAATCATTTGGTCTAGGATGTTTCTTACTCATTCACCTCCTTGTGTTCAGCTGAGATTGTTCTCATAAAATTAAGTATGACTGTGTGTTTCGGGGAAAAATGCAAGTGTAGTAGCGTTCAGATTGAGGTATGGGCAGTGTATATTTGTATTTGTTTTTTTCTTCATCTGCCTGTTCACAAAACCTCTTTGGCTAACATAATAAAATATGATGCAATAAAATGCAGCTTAGAAAAACATATAAAAACCACTCCTAAAATGACTCAGAGAAAATACGTTTTCAGCCTGATGTGAGAAAGATAGCAGCATAGCTGCCGTCGCACACCTCTGGGAAGAATATTTCCAAATCTAATACCACAACAGTACCCCTGCCTGCTTAATTTCTTTCAGCAAAGATACCTATAACAGAGGGCCTCTGAAGGCGACCTGAGAAAGGGCAGGTACATAACGTGAGAGACGTGTAGATAACTAGAGTTGTGGTGTGCGTCTGTTGCTGGTGCTGCTGTATAGTTTGAATTTTAGAAGAGGTGTCTTACAACAGAAGGACAGGACATGTTTGAGGGGAATTCTGAGAGAAGTGGTATTTTCCCTATTTTAGAACCCCGTGAAGTTTCACAGAGCACACAGATTTGCTCATAGTTCCTTTCTCCCATTGGCATCAGCTCAAAATTAATAGATATGTTCACAGAAGGATAAATGTCTGACTCATTCTCTCATCTCTTAACCTAAATTGCATGGTACAGTACATTAAAGGTACAGTACAGCATGCCATAGAGTCTCCTTTTCTTTTTAAACATACATGGTGGTGGCCCTAGTCAGGAATAAGACTCTTGAGTGCTTCTTGGTCTTTAAAAGAAAAACAGATGCTTAGCTTCACACCGTGTATTTAACATAAGGGGTAATTTAGTTTTCAGAACCTTTACCTTTTTGCCCAAAGGCTCATTCCTCAGTAGAGGGCACATTGTTATGTGCGGAAGAAGTTCACCTATACCTTACTTGTGTACACTGAGGCAATATGTTGCTCTCTGACATATTTTTGTACATTGAGGGAATATATTTCTCTCTGACCTGTTTTGTGCACAGAAAGTCCCACATTCAGTCCATTTAATCCATACACTTTATGTGTATTTTCAATTAAAAGGATTTGTTAGGTCTGTACCAAGTTTGTAGGTAGTATTTCTCAGCTGTTTCACAACCGCAACATTGCTTATTTTGTTTTCAAGTAGAATGTGGGGGGTGAGATGAATGTGGAGGTACAGGCAAGAATATGCACCATCCCTCTCTCCCAGGAAAACCCTGTTCTGATGTTCTTTTTGAATTTTGGGAAGTACAAAATACCTGCTACATTCAAAATGGCTGCCTTCTTTGCCACTTGTGAGAGTTGTGATTATAGATATGATAAGACTTTTCAAATACTTGAAAGGTAGTCATATAGAGGAGGGGCAGGATCTGTTCTTGATCATCTGAGAGTGCAGGACACATACCCGTATTTTTCGCTCCATAAGACGCACCTTTCCATAAGACGCACCATTTTTTTAGGAGAAGAAAACAGGAAAATATAATCTGTTTTCTTCACTCCATAAGACGCACAGACTTTCCACCCCCCCTGTTTTGTGGGGGAAAAGTGCGTCTTATGGTGCGAAAAATACGGTAATAATGGGCTCAAACTAAAGGAAGCCAGATTTCAGCTGAATTATCAGGTAAAACCTCTTAACTGTTAGAGCAATATGACTATGGAACCAATTACCTGGACAGGTGATGAGCACTTCAACACTGGAGGGATTCAAGAGAAAATTGAACAATCATCTGTCAGATCTACTTTGACCTGGATTCCTGCATTGAGCAGGGGGTTGGGCTTGATGGCCATATAGGCCCCTTCCAACTCAATTATTCTATTATCCTATGAGAGTGGACATCAATATAATTTTTCAACCTGAGCTAGGAAAAGGTTTAATACAATTGATCTGTATGTTAGTAGAAGTTGATTGCAGTCAAAGATAAGCATGGGATAATCTGTCTATACAAATAGTTTACACACACATACACACCCCTAAGATGTTTTGGGAAAACAAACTGAAACCTAACCAGAAGCAGACCCAACAAAGTTTATTGGGATGTACACTGAAGTAAACACACTGAGCTAATTAATTAGAAGAAACAAATTAATGGAGGGGCCATTTCATAGAACCATTACTCCAAATTGCTAAATTAGTTTCATAAACATTTAGTTGCGTTTATGGTTCTCTACTGTTACAGTCTCTGACAGTAAGATAGAATTGGCACTTACCTGAGGCTGAAGAGCCCATCTCAGACACAGTTCATGATAGTGGCCTAGGTAAACAAATTGTAATCTGATTCTAGGTTGACTGGTTTCAGATGTTCATCTATGAAAACTCATGCCTGTACTAATTTGTCTATCTGATTCTCAGTTAACTGGTTTCAGATGTTCATCTGTGAAAACTCATGCCTGTACTAATTTGTCTATAATAGTTTCTTTCCCTCTCCTGCAATCCAAAATATTTATTTACTTGTTCATATTTCTTTTTAGAAATGTAGCTCAGTTTTCAGAAATTTGTTCCCAGACAGCTTTAATGAAATAGCTAAAGAATTACAAGATGAATGTGCAGACTCTGAAGGATGAACATAAGTGTCTGAATTGTGGTGGAGAAGTCCAAGCTCCTTGGCTTTGTTCTGCCTGAGTATATGTTGCATCTCAGTATATCTTCTCTTCATTTCCCTGTTTTTTGGTTGTAGGAGCAGTTCCGAAAGGAGGAAAGAAAAATCACGGGATGCAGCCAGGTGCAGACGGAGCAAAGAAACTGAAGTATTCTACGAGCTGGCCCATGAACTTCCCTTGCCTCACAATATCAGCTCACATCTGGACAAAGCTTCGATCATGCGTCTTGCTATCAGCTTCTTACGAACACACAAGCTGTTGTCTTCAGGTAAGCTTTGCAAATAAAATAATTGTCATCTTTGGTCAATTGCCCAGTGAGGCTCCCTTCCATTGTGAACATAAACAAGGGCTCTGTCAAAACTTTAGCTGATGTACATCAGTGGAAGCTTATGCAACTGCCTCTGTTTCTGCCCACAAAAGGGAAGGGATTCAAAAGACCAGACTGCATGACCCATCACTTGCTTGTTCAGATGCTGCACTTATTAGGAGATAACCTTTTGGTAGAGCCTAAGAGGGCATCGATAGTACATTTTACATTGACCACACCATTTTTAATTCCTATTCCAGTTCAGTTGCCCACGAAATTCTGGGATTTGTAGTTTGATGAAGTAGTCAGTGGTGAGGCAGCAGGAAAAGAGGAGGACGAAATATAAGATGGACTGACTCCTTAAAAGAAGCCTAAGGCTTGAGTCTACCAGAGCTGAGCAGGGCAGCTGAGGATAGGACATTTTGGAGAGCACTAATTCACAGGGTTGCCATGAATCGGAAGTGACTTGATGGCAGATAACAAACACAAAGCAGTCAGAATTATTTGCTGTGATTATGGGAAATGCATCAGAGCTCTCTAGCGAAGACCTTTAAAGTACCTCATCAAACTGCAAATCCCAAGATTCTGTAGGATGGTGCTGTGCCAGTTAAAGTAGTATCAAACAACTCTATATGGTGTATGAGCAGATGCACTGTAAGATATCCGAGGTCCAGTTGGTCACAACTCAAGCGATTAAGTGTTATAATGCCCATTCTCCAGAACAGTGAAAATTAGGCAGGCACCAACTGTTTTGATGTCTATGTAGAGCTTGGAAGTAACCAGTTACTTATAATCAACACCTTTTTCCCATTAAAAAGGGTATAATTTAAGAAGGGGTAACTTCCCTTTTTTTGGCATGGTAACTTTTGCTCTTATGAAGGGAGTGTCGCTTCTTGAAACAGTGGCAGAAGAATATCATGTGGTTCAAGTGTTGATGGTTTCCTCCCATCCCTCCACAACCTTCTGTAGCACTCAGGTACTCAAAGCAACCATTTTGTTACTTTTGAGAAATAGAAGTTACTTTTTGTAAAAGTCATTACTTGTTGAGGCCTTGGAACCATAAAGGTAACTAATAATGGTTATAAAGTAACTTTTCAAACTCAGTTGAAAGTGGAACTTGCTCCAGCTAGAGTTTGGAGAACAGTATTTTTGTCTATATACAGTATTATAGGGTAGTAATCCCAAAAAAAAGTAAATTTTGAATATAGCAGAATTGTGAACATAAAATGGAATCACCGTGTGTTGTTCAACCAAGGTTGGTCTATTAATGCAATAAAATATGCAAAAAAAGGTAAACAAGTGAAAAAGGCAAAACCAAGGCTGTGTTGCATCACAAAGATAAAGAAGGTATACATCTAAAACTATACATAGAAAATGTTAATTAAAGCCAATTAAATAGTTCAAGCCTGAAGAGTTTTTAATCCTAATTAAAATGCCAGAGATTATACATCACATAATATTTCCATGCTGGAACAAGCATATCCTAATTTCATGTGGAAAACACATATGTAAAACTGCATTTAGAAAGCAGTTGTGTATGTAATTTAAAGGTTAAGAAAAGAGAGATGAAAAATAATAATTTTTATGATATATGGAGCAGATTTCTTGAATATGTGCTAACAAGAGGAAAAGGGAAAGTGCCAAATCAGGAATCAATGCAGTTCTGGAGAAAAGGACAATAAAGGAAGAAGAATAAAGATAAAGGAAGAAGATTACTGCAAAAGGTCCCGATTAGGGTGACGGGGAACACAGTTGATTTGTATTTTGGTTTATGTATTTTATGTTTATGTTGTATTTTATCTAATAAAATTTTAAAAAGAAAAAAAGAAAGCAGTTGTGTCGTCCAGAGGCCACATCTAAGGAGAATAAAACTAGCATATTTCTATCAGTGGCATAGCCAGTATGGCATAGTGGACAGAGTGATGAACAGGAGACCTGGGTTTGAAACCCCACTCAGCCACCATGGATGCTCACTTGGGATGTGGAACTGGTAAAACCACTTCTTAAGTACCCTGAAAACCTTATTAGGGTCATTATAAATCAATTCCAACCTCATGTAACATAATGATTTCTGTCGCTATCTGGCACTAATTCCTCTCCTGCCGGCAACTCTTCACTGGTTAATATATCCGGGGGATGTGGGGTGGGTATATTGGGTATAGTGCATATTGTGTGTACAAAAGGTTTAAAAAATATTTGGGATTGATTAGTTGTCAAAAGTTTCGAAAGAGTTTTGTGTCTTGCTATCTATATATCTGAAAATAGTCTCCATTTCTATTCTGCCTGTCAGAGAGCTCAGTCTAACTCAGAAACATGCACATTTTAGGACGGTTTTGTCTACTAAAATATATATTTTATATCAGTCCTGTTTGAAACATAAGAGATAGCGGCAGCAGTAGCCTTGATGTGCTTTGCACCACAGAATTTAGTGTGGGAATCTTGAAAGGAAGGCCACCAACATTTCTCCTCCATGCAGAATGGGTAAGAAGGGATGTTTGGTTATGCATATAATCCTTCAGTTAAAATGCTTAATAAGAGATTTTAATGGTGCTATTAAGTAATTGTGGTGCCATTTCTTACACTCCACACTGACTTTAGATGTACCCAGGTACAGTGGAAAGCCGAAGCCAGTGGATCCCCCGTATTTCTGATTGTGAATGGCCTTAGCTCAGCCAATAGGGCCCATGATTTCTATGCAGAAGGTCACATTCAGACTTTGCTCAGCAGTGGCCACGGTCTCCTTTTTCCTAACATAGGAGGAACTTCATATTTTGCTGGTTACTTCCCGTTTTTAGTGGCCTCAGACGTTTTGCCCATCCAGACATGCCTGTGCAATCATTTTGCCATTAGGTGACCACATCCCCCCCCCCAACGTGTGCAGGGGAATGGAGTGGGGTGGGGCCTTTCAAGGTTTGTGAGGGAGAGATGTGTTTTGTCTGTATATGAATTGTCATCATTTTATTATTGAGACAGGTACAAAAGTATTTTTTTTAAAATAGGCCCCAATTAATGAAATCATTCCCTTTGCCTTGAGTTAAAATGGAGTGTGAAGGCAAATATGAAATCATATTGAATTAAACATTTGTGTCATTCTTTAGGGTAAGTGCCGCATTGCATTGAGGAGGGGAAAAATTAAAACAGTTTGTATTACAACAATAACAAAATATTTCCTCTTCGTCAGAGAGAATTCTCTTCCAAAGTTTGCTGTTTGCTCAGTTTCAGCTGTTTGAGCGGATCTGCTGATACATACAGTTCAGATAGCACACTTAGATTATATATAGTCTTATCTAACAACATTCAGGTGTGTAAGAAGGGTTTTCCCCACTATAAATGACAAACATGAAGGTGTGTTATATGTCAAAAAGACGGAGATTATTATGGCAGTTGTGACCAGTGATCCTGCTTGGTAAATTAGTGCGTTTATGTACCTCAGGTCTTGCTCATCAGAATGTCTGCATTTATTTAAAGATACAGTACTTAATAATTATAGAAATCGAAGAACTACAGCCAGATCCAACTTACCAACACTGAACAAAATGAGAAAGTAGGATTGTGATGACCCCAGCTTGCTACATAGATTGCATGATGCTTAAGTTAGAAAAGTTTGAGAAACATTGATTTAAGCAATTCATTTTTGCTCTTTATGGTCTGTCTAATCAGTTTTCATTCTGATTTGCAGATATGGAAATAGTCTAAAATTCATGTACAGACAAAACATATCTTGGGCTTCATGATTATGTATGGCTTTATTTTATCCTGTTCCAAAGCTCTTCTCCTTCCTGTTTTGTCTCATTGCTTTTGTCAACAGTAGCCATGATTGTTTAAGTTAAAGTTTTTATTTAAAACAGAAAGATGTTTTCAGGTTTACATATTATTTTTGTTTTGTAACAAACATAAGGAGCCTGAGAATTACAATCATGTTTTGTGTACACTGAAGGAGAGCAGGATAAATTAAACTATTCTAGAAAAAGGCTCCATGGTATGCTGTATCAAGACAGTATTTATTAATTTACCTTTTAAAACGTCCTTACTGTAAAGCAAAACATCTGATGCCAAGCCTCAGATTGCTTCTTTCTGTTTTGAAAAGTGCTTGCTGAAGTCCCTCATGTATTTTCATGCTTAGGTTGTTTAAATTTATTCTGTTAATTTCAATTTAGACTTTATAATGCCATATACAGTTCAGTTGGCTTCATATTTCCTTAAACCCAACTAAAAAAAATAATAATCTGAATTTGGTCTTTTGAATCATTTCGTAATAGGAAATGTTGGTCCCATAGCTTGGAGTTCAAAAGAATGCAGCATACCAAGCATAGCTTTATTCTGGTTCCTTCTTTACTTAGTAACCTGTTTCCCTTTGATTTTCACAGTAGGCTGCTCTGTGTAAGAATGCTGGGAAGGAAACCTTTGGCTTCGTAGGCCGGAGGCTTGGCTGAAATTACTATTGCAGGAAGCTAACTGAAACAATAGCTGCAGAGCACTGTTCCTATTTTCTGCATAGTACATTTGATAGGGATCCAGTACTTTTAGAAATGAGATAATAGGCAGAAATTAGAAATGTGAAGTTGGTGGGACTCCTAGATGGCATCTTTGATGGAGCAGCACCCAGTGATGGAATCCTCTCCCAAGGTATCCACTTAAACGGCTCCCGAGAAAGGATGTACATCAACAAAAAAAAGAGAGCACTGGTTTGCTTAAAATTCAATATAACCATTTTTATGCAAAATTAGGTACAATTTTTGTGATTGAATCAGAATGGCAGTCCCTCTCGCCAGAGTCTGTAGTCTAGGTACTCACTGTGGATGAATAACTTCAAGGCTTTTGATTTCCCTCTTATAGTTCTTTATGTTTAAAACAGCCTTGGAGTGGATAGCCTTTCATATGGTGCAGATCATCAAAAAATAAGACTGTTCTCTGTAAAAAAAATACGTAGCCACCACCTTCAAAGACTAAAGTCTCTCCTT